CTAGGTATTCTATAAAATATCGAATGCGAAGCCGGCAATGTGTAAGGCGAGAACAGGGAAGGGAGAGAGGTTTTACTTACTCAATTCTGAGAGGCCAGTAGATTACGTCTTGTTTTTACAGAATTATTTTGTTTCCTAAGTTTTTAATACTTATTACTTATAAGCAAATGACATTATGTTAGTTAATCCAGAAAAATTTTAAGTTTAATGTAATTCAATTGTGACCTTTCTGTAACTATAGTAAAATCTGTACGTGCCTTTTTTGTACAATAACTTATAGATTATAAAAAAGTTTATTATGAGTAAAAACTGATAAATACAGACCAAAATCTATTTAGTTTGTACATTGCCGGTTGACCAACAGGTACTCTATGTAATCCCTAAGAATTGTATACATTACCTAGGTAAAGTATCTAAGGGACAATAATGTTCATAATATTTCATACATTGCCTAGGCACCCCAGGTTACCTAGGCATTGTATAGAGTACCTGAATTATACAGATTGATGGTAACATATGCAGTGAATTTCACTTAAGATGCAATATATTACAAAAATATATTTCTATAGAAACTAGAACGTACCTACTTACTTTGTCTCACATAAAATATAATTTGACATAACACTAAAACTTAAGATGGCTTGTAGGGACTAGGTAGCGCTAGTTAGCATAAAATATCACTATGTTGCATATTTTTATTGAACTAAAACTAGAACTAACACTAGACCTAGAATTAGAATCATTCGGGTTTAGCCGTCTTGAGACGTGCGGCTAAACCTGAATGTTTCTAGTTCTAGGTGTAATGTTAGTTCTAGTGTTAATTATTATTCAGCGTTAGATTGTGGTATATTTTTGTTGAACGAAAAGTAGAACTAATACTAGACATGGAACCAGAAACATTCGGGTTTCGTCGTGCGTCTCTTAAGACGGAAACTGAGAGTTATCATAAGGACATTTTTTCCTTTTCGTCATCTTTTCCAAGCAAAGCTTTTTCTTTGCAAAACTACCTAAATGCCTGTACTAATAATAATTAATCAATATTATATATAATTCGCTATATTTTTTTAAAAATTTCACAAGATATACTTTTTTTAGTTCTAGGGTGANCTCCCCAATGCCTGTACTAATAATAATTAATCAATATTATATATAATTCGCTATATTTTTTTAAAAATTTCACAAGATATACTTTTTTTAGTTCTAGGGTGAAAATGGATAAGGTTAGCATAATATCCTATGTTAATAACCCAGTTAGATTTTATGGTATTTCCGTGTGATGCGTTCACAAATTGTCATGTCCGGTTTTTGGGCGGCTCTAGCAGAATAACAATAAGTCCGATTCGGAGTAAAAGGGGCGCGATGAGCCGCAAAACAAGTTATCAATATTCGAAAAGCGGCAGGGGCCGGAGTCCTCATTGTTCGGTTGAATGGGGCCCAAAGTCCTCTAGGTCTCCGTCCGGGGAGGTGATCCGCTCGGCAAACATCGTCGCCATTGTGCGATACTGAAGGGAACTAATTTCGCGGCGGTGTGGCGTCCTCTCACCTCGGTAGCACCACTTTCCACTAATGGACACGTTCGAGATGGCGCTACCCTTACTTCGCCGCTTCTATATTTCTGTTTGCGGACGGATGTTTTAGCGGCAGGTAATAAGCCCGCTTATTGCACCACCTACAGCTATCAGGCGCAATATTATATATTGCGAGAGTAAGATGTCGTAATTCGTTGTAAAGAAGTTTGTAGGTTTAAGAATGTCATCAAGGATTAAATATTTTTTTGCAATTTTTTATATTTATTATGTATCGTTTTATATATTGTCACATCTAGATAAAATATGAATGGGGAAAATCGCGGTTGAAAATTGAAATACTAAAATAATAAATCGTCTGACATTTAAAACCAGATTAGCGATTAATCTCCCGGAAAAAAACAGGAACGAATATGTATATAAATCCGTTTAGGTATGACTTGACTACAATGGGTTGAAATCCGAAATCAGGCGCACTCGAAATCCAATTTCCCTATCAAAAATTCATGTAAATTCGGTGCACTTAAAATCGTTTTGTTGCAGCAAAAAAACGACTAAATGATTCGGGGTAATCTTTTTTTGCGCGCGCGTCGCGCACCTATTCAAATTTTCACGTTTCCGGTTCGCAGCGTCCGCGCTCGGTTATTTTAAATGAACGCGTGAATTAGTAATGGGGCAATTTCGCGGATTTATTTAAACATGTCCCTCTAAACGAACTGGCGACCATTGTCGCTAATGCGATCGATAGAAGCGTTTGTGCAAAAATAAAAATGTGTTCATGAAAATTCAACTCTGTCCAGCAACGCGACGGTGTTTCTTCTTTTCCAGCGACGACGTTCTTGACGATACTGCACAAGTATAAGCTGGCACGGAATGCTACAAGTTTTATAGTGTATGTTCCGGTACAAATTCAGAAATACTCCTTCCGTTGTAATGTTTATATCAAACCGCGGATCTCGAGTGTTCCAGAGAACGGAGGTCGGTTCGCCGTTTAACGTACACTTGGCAACCACTTCTTAATAATTCTAAGTTATGTCTCCGTCGCGCCCTCTGCACGGTACGGGCTAATTCATTGCAAAGCCCTCTTGCCCGAAACTTTGGGCTTAACGTTTGTTCTTGTAGACGGTTGGACTAATTTATTAACAAGGATAGTATCTGTTTCTATAGCTTTATTAACATTTTTTTTGTGTTCACCACCTTATTGAAGCTTTAAACTAAAAAAGAACTTTCAGGAAAACCTCGGTTTTTATAAGAACAACTTGAAAGGAACACTTTACTAACAAGATCTGAAATGATTTCCTAAAACTTCACTTTCCGACGACATTTCTCCGGCTCGTTTAATTAAAAAGAATATCCATGCAGCGGCGCAGATAAAATTGTCGGGTGGAACGACGTCTTCCTTTCCAAGAGGCAGAGGGAAACTTTAAATGGAAACGCCGCCGCGAAGACGGCGTCAACGTCGTCGTCGCGAGGCGCGGACGTGTCCCTGATATTTCTTTGAATTTCTTGAAACGCGAACCGAATAACAGCTCCTTTTGACAAGTATTTGTCGCACTCTTTATCGAACATTTCCCTTTATAAACAGATGTTGCCACCCACTTTCCAGACAGTTCAGTCGCTCGCGGGTATATTTAATAACATTTCATCATGCGGGCTTGCGTCCGTCGTCCCCTAGTTCCCTTCTTCCCTTCGCCCAAAACCCTCTTTTCTTGGGCCGCCACCACCTTCATCTCCTCCCTTTGGTTTCGACCCCCTTTTCGCTGACGCGGCCTCCTTAGATAACAATTTCGAGTGCCGCCGCATTTCACGTTTTAGGAAAATTGGAAATTATGTTCGACTTGGTGTTGTGCAACGATTTCTCGACAGTCAATATTTCTCTTTTTTTTTCGTCTTCTAATTTATCTTTTTACCTAGATTTAAAGTTAAACAAAACACGGTTGCGTTCTGTATTAGTTAGTTCTAGTTTTAGTTCAATAAAAATATACAACAATCTAGCGCTAAATAGCAACTAACACTAGAACTAACACTAGTATTAGAACTAACACTAGGCCTAGAACTAGAAGCCTTTGGGTTTAGCCGTTCGTCTGTTAAGCTGGCTAAACCCGAATATTTCTAGTTCTACGTCTAGTATTAGTTCTACTTTTCGTTCGATGAAAATATACAGCAATCTTGCGTTGAATAACAATTAAAACTAGAACTAACACTAGCATTATAACTAACACTAGACCTAGAACTAGAAACATTCGGGTTTAGCCGTCTTAAGGGACGTACGGCTAAACCTTCTAGTTTTAGTTCAATGAAAAATATAGAAAAATCTAACGCTGAATAACAACTAAAACTAGATCTAACTAATAAAACTAGTTTTGCAGCAGCACTATCATTAGTTTCTAGTTCTAGGTCTAGTGTTAGTTCTAGTTTTTATTATTACTCAGCGTTAGATTGTGGTATATTTTTATTGAATGAAAAGTAGAACTAACACTACCGTATATCCAAAATCCGTTCTAACGTGGTCCGTTTTATCGAGGTTTTGAATTTTTACTATTTTTATTAGAGATTTTACTGATTGTGACTACAATCCATTTTATACCACGTTTCCATTTAAAAGCTGTAGCGGAGCTGTGTCGTTCCCGCATAGATAATAATTTTGAGTGGCGCAGCATTTCACATTTTACGAAAATTGGAAATTACGTCGCCGCTGTCGGCCCGTCTTGCAGTTCCACGCCTCGGAAATAAACTGATACTGCGATGAAAATAGTTCCATAAATAACACCCTCGTTGTCATTGCGTTCTTTTTTTCTTTTTTACCTTTTTTGTCGTACTCCAGACAATCTGCACGCTACAAATCGCGTCTTTTTTTGGGCGGTCATGGCGGCGGTTAATGTTGCGTATAAATAATGTCGGCTCGAGCCACCAGTTCCTCGTTTTATTAATTGCCTCGCTCGCTCCTTTTTTACGTGTCCGCGTGGGTGCTGCGATGGCGTAAATCAAAACCCAGATAAAACTGTGTCAGCAGAACCAATCCGATCTCTTAAACAGGATACTTAAAATTAGGTCAAACACAAAATGATGCTTATTTAAAAAAAATTGTACCAAAATAAATTAATTCAAACCAATGTTTAAACTAATTTATTTCAACTATAAAAGAAATCAAAGACCTATAATAGTAAGTTAATATCTAGCATGTCATATCTTTGAAATGTAATACAATGACAAAGCAATAGATCCGAAATTAAACTATCATTACGTAACTAAACCGAGAATATTTAGGACATCGCAGCCAATAATGCAAAATTACACAATAGTTCATGTGAACGCATAACCTAGACCCGTAGGTAAAAAGAAAGTTAAAATGAATGAAGAGGGCGTGTACACTGCCAAAAATCTCCTATATAAACCGAAATCTCAAAACGTTATTTATTCAAACCAACACCACCAACAACAACAATCACAAAAACACAATAGAAGAAATTAAATATGGCCATCAAGGTAATTTCATATACTTAAATTTATAAATACTTATCACATTTTCTTTTTAGGTTATTATTCTCGCTGCTTTAATCGCTGTTTCATCGGCTGGAATCCTTCCAGCTCCATACCATGCTCCATATGCCGCCCCAGTTTATTCCGCCCCTATTACTAAAGTAGCAGCCCCGGTTTATGCCAAATCTGTTGTAGCTCCAGAACCATACGATCCCCATCCACAATACAACTTCAACTACGATATCCACGACCAACACACCGGGGACGTTAAAAGCCAACAAGAAGTTCGCGATGGAGATGTAGTTAAAGGAGCTTATTCTTTTATCGAATCTGATGGAGCAAGACGTGTTGTTGAATACACTTCCGATCCAGAACACGGATTCAACGCTGTAGTTCACAGAGAAGAAGGTGCCGCTCATCCAACTGGCCCTGCTGCCGCTCCAGCTTATGCTAAAGTAGCCGCTCCAGTTTATGCTAAAGTTGCTGCTCCAGTTTATGCTGCACCCGTTGCTAAAGTAGCTGCTTATCCTAGTTATCCGTCAAATGGATATTATCACTAAATGAGATTGTTGTATGGAATATCAAATTGTTAATGTGTTATTTATTTATTTAATTAGAAATATATATCAATTGCATTATATTTTGTTGTTTCATTTGAGGGATTTACAGTTTAACGATATTTTAACCTTTATAAATCAAAATACGGTTGTATATTGGTTTGACTTGCACTTGAAGTTTGATTTTACTTCTCCATTATTATCAAATTATTTTCCTTTTGTCCGCTAGTTTCGTAACTATGGAACGAATCTTTATCAAAAACAGTTCAGTCTCTTAAAGTGTGATTGAAAAGTATGTGATTCTTGTACTGTGACTCGTAAAGATTCTAGATTATTTTTGCTGGTGGTTGAGGTTTGACATCAGTTATTTTCACAAAATGAGACAAATACAATTAGGAACCTTAGTTTCGAAGATTATTTAAAGAAAAACATTTTTGAAATTAGTTTGATCTATATTATTTCAGGATCCAAAAATAGTCTTTCTAAAGATAGCAAAGTAGGAATAAAGAATTGCTAATTCCTGCATTTTTATGCAGTGGGGCGTTTGAATCAACAAAATGATACCAATTGCTTGGTAAAAATTTGTATAATTAAGATGTGAGAATTGAAAATTCTTTTGAAGTTGCTCGACAAAATAATTGATAAACTTTAAAAAGAAGTGGCGTATCCTGGGGAAATACTCAACTTTCAGTACTAGGTATTTCTGATCGTGTTAATCTGGATATGGTCAAAAAATGAAAGGTATGGAGATTAGGACCATTTTATAGATATCAGGAAACTCATACACATTGAAGTCTACCTTAGATAAATCCTTGAATATAATAGTAGCTACATATTTAGATAAAACCAGCTGGCAAAAATCATGAATACAACATTTAACGGTATCTGCCTGAATGAGTTGACAAAGTATATTAAGTAATTGTAATAATCATTAAAATCATTCAAAGAGCGACATAACCTGTCTCTACCACAGTGATAGATCATGTATAATTCACCATCACCAACAGAATATGCCATAATTTCAAAAGCAGCGTGAAAATGAAGTTAGCGGCATGAAGAAACCTGGAATAAATGTGTATAAAAAGATGAATTAAAAAGTCTTAACGTCCAAACTTGTAGAAATAGAGATATGATTCTTAACATTGATTAACATGATAACATGATTCTTAATATGATTCTTCACATCTACCATTATTTAAATTTTCTTTTTAATGGAGCTTAGTTCATGATAATATCTCACTTTGTTCTTGAGATACCATGCAAAAAATTGCATTTGTATCATTTAACTTTAAAAATCACTCACAATCAGTAGAATTTTGACAACTTAATAACTTATGAGATATGGTTTTTTCAAAATAGGTATTTATAAATTTAACTTATAAAAATTAACTAAAATAAATCATAATGTCGAAATTTATAGAAATAAAAAAACTATATTTAACTAATTACATATTCGATATATTTTCTTTATGATTATTACTTCTTGATGATATCACAATTCGTTCTTCAGATACGATGCTGTAAATTGCATTTGTAACCTCTAAAGTTACAGAATTGAATTTAAAATATCGTACGATCGGGATTTATTGGAACGGACGAAATATGTTTGGTGTGTTGAAACTGGATTAAATTTACTACAGAATGGTTTTAAATCATCCTGACATCTCAATAAGTTGTTGAGATAAGATCTCACTTTTAAAACCCCAATAATATAAATTTAACAAACAATGATGAGCGTAAAACGTTTTCCACGAAATGTTTAATCGAACTACTAAATCGATTTTGATCTTTTATTTATGATTGCATGTCTATGTATTGTCCTATTCGCTAAATGTATGTATACGATCAAAGTCAAAGGACGATAAAATGAAAGGCAGCTTGTTTGAAGATAATTCAAAATCTATTCGATAAATAATTCTTAGAATAACTTCAGCTGTTGAAAACTTGTATGGTTTTTTTTTAATTTTAAAAAAATTTTGAAAAATCACTTGTTCATAATTTTACTTTTTCGATTACTTTCGATTACGTCCACATTTTTAGTAGTAAACTTACGTAATTATTTATGTACATATACACTACCTAACCTAGACCTCTAAGTAATGAAAGAAAAAGTGAAATTAGAGCGTTGTCTATCTTGTTTCACCAGGGTGTGTACTCGCCAAATTTGCATATATAAACTCGAACCGCCGAAGATGAAGTATACTCAAACCAACACTTACAAGAACAACATCAAGACATTATCAACAAATTAAAGTTAAAATGGCTTTCAAGGTAACAAATAAAAATAAACTAAATTAAGAAATAATTATAAATTACTTTTAGTTCACCATCTTAGCTGCTTTAATCGCAGTTTCTTCCGCTGGAGTTGTTCCTGCTGCATATCCAGCTCATTATGCAGCCCCAATTTACGCAGCCCCCATAGCCAAAGTAGCAGCTCCAGTATATGCTAAAGCCGTAGCTCCCGAACCATACGATGCTCACCCACAATACAACTTTAATTACGACGTCCATGACGATCATACTGGAGACGTGAAAAGCCAACAAGAAGTTCGTGATGGAGATGTAGTAAAAGGAGCTTATTCTTTCATTGAATCTGATGGTGCTAGACGTGTTGTTGAGTACACTTCCGACCCAGAACACGGATTCAACGCTGTTGTTCAAAGACAAGAAGGTGCTGCTCATCCAACTGGTCCCGCTGCTGCTCCAGCTTATGCTAAAGTAGCCGCTCCAGTTTATGCTGCTCCAATTGCTAAAGTTGCTGCTCCAGTTTATGCTGCACCTGTAGCTAAAGTAGCTGCTTATCCCGGTTATGCATCCCATGGATATTACCATTAATAAAATTATAGTGTAGAATTTGAAATTGTGAATGTTATTTATTTATTTTGAAATAAAAGAATGTATTGCATTATATTTTTGTTTTTCTTTTAAACATTTTTCTTCTAATAATAAGAGATAATAACTTACTCTTGAGTAATTAAGATGTTATAATTTCATTGTTGTCTGCATCAACAATGACGACACAGAAGATGCATTTGTATTTTTTTTTTAACTTTTGGACTATAAATGTAATTCTTTTGTGATTATAGACTCTATTATCATTATATTTTATATATTTACCTTTTATTTATTTATTTCTTTTTCTATATAAATACCTGATTCTAAAACAGTTCTTTTCAAAAATCTTCTTTGATTTGAATACCAAGTACAGCGAAAGCCTAACAGGCAATATGAAAACAGATATGTATATTTTTTAATATTCAAATTCGTTTCGTTTCTCTTAATTATCTTGGAAGTTTTTGATACTCAACAGAAAATCAAAGTTTGGGAAAAATGCATTGAAAAACTATTCGGAAACAAGCTCACAAGGAGGTTTGAAAACAACGAATGCATGATATGTCATGCTATGTCTAGGGAGAAGATAAAACAAGCAATCTAAAACTCGAAAAATCATAAAACATCAAGCTCGGATGAAATTTCATGAGAAATTTTGAAACTTGTAGATGAAAGTAGAATTGTCACTTTATGTCAAATATGTAACATAATTTATGATATTGGTTACTAATAATGGCTAGAATCTATCTTCATCACACTACCTAATGTAAACAGGGCCTGAACTTGTGAACAATATCAAATTATTAACCTTATGAATCATACCCTAAAAATCTTCCTTAAAATAATTCATCAACGTATATATAAAAAATGTGGAAGGAACATGGTGATTCCCAGTTTGGCTTCATACAGAGAATAGGCATAAGAAAAGCGATAAGGCCGTTAACGTGTTGGTTCAAAAGACATTAGCTTCTGCTTCCTGTACTAGGAAAAAGGGTTTGACCAAGTAGAACATCGCAAACTGATGCAGATTGTCAAGAACCTAAACAGAGACCAGAAGGACTGTGTTAGACTATAATTCGACAATAATCTTTCTAACAGCATTACGATCAGAAGGGTAGTATGCCACAAATACGTTCTGTCTTGTTTAATCTCTACACAGAGGTAGTATTTCGAGAAGCACTTGATGATGCTGAGATTGGTATTAAAGTTAATGGTGTTTGGATTAACAAGATCCGATACGCCGATGATACGTTCTTGATTGCTGGCAACAGATGAATGGGCATGAATATGAACAATAAGAAGACTAAATTCATGATAATAACAAGGAACCTTCCAAGGAGCATTCGAAAATGCCGAACTAACAGTCAGTGACATAGAAAGGGTAGACAAATTGAAATACCTGGGGACATCTGTCTGAAAATTGGACATTGGACAACGAAATTAATCCGCATAGAAGAAGTTAAGCAGGCATTTCAAAAATTTTTGAGAGAGACAACATAAACTTCAAATTAAGGTTTATGAAATATTACGTAAATATAACGTATTTAAATAAAGTGGAAGCATTTAAAATGGGGACATACTTCATAATAATAAAAATCCCTTGGACTGCCAAAGAAACAAATGAAAAAATACTAACTCGAATAAACAAAGAACGCAAACTATTTATCACAATTAAAAAGAGAAAAACTGCTGAAAAAATTATCTCCAATTAATAATTGAGGGCAAATTCAAAGGGCGAAGAGGGATTGGCAGAATAAGATGTCCTGGCTCCGAAATGTACGATAATGACGACTACGAGGAATAAAGAAGAAATGGAAAATGTGATCGCAAATATTCATTAATGGATAAGCAAGATTTATCACTAAATCTGTTTTTTACTCTTTTACTAATTTTATTATAAAATTATTTAATTGTTGTGCTAAAATGTCTTAATTGTCGTAATTACTTTACGAAGTTTAATAATAAATAAGGCACCTTTTTATATCAATGTTTCTTGTAATAAAATTTTAGTTTCGAATTTCTTTTATAACAAAATTAAAAATATTTTGTAACCACCTAATAAGATCTACAATTATGAGATAATGTGTTAATTAAGATAACTGTCAATATCTTTTATTGAACGGAACTCATTTGATTACCCGGTTATTATTAACGATTTTTTTTAGAATTTGAATGACATAGCCATAGAGAAATGTGGAATTACAGTTGCGTAATTCAACAATATTTAGAACACCGCGTAGAGTAACGTACTTGCACAATAGATACTTCATGTAAGAGCCTAACCTAGACCCTTAGGTGAAAAAGAAAGGTATTACGCAAATTATTAACATTGTCCAACGATAATTAATAGGGAGGTAGAAATGATATATAAACCGAAATCTCCGAATGCAATTCATAGTCAATTCGCTAAGTTTTAACGAACAACATCTTTACATTTCAAATTCATAACAACAATTAAATATGGCTATTAAGGTATTAAACTATATTTTAAATATATCTCTAATTAATTGAATTATATTTAAATTTTTTCTAGATCGTAATTTTGGCTGTTTTCATCGCCGTCTGTTCCGCTGGAAATGTTCCAGTTGCATATCCCGCCCCTTATCATAGTCCTTATCCCGCACCGGTATATTCTGCACCTGTAGCCAAAGTAGTAGCACCTGTTTATTCTAAAACTGTTGCTCCAGAACCATACGATCCCCATCCTCATTACAGTTTCAATTATGACATTCACGACGAACACACCGGGGACGTTAAAAGCCAACAGGAGGAACGCGATGGGGACGTAGTAAAAGGATTCTATTCTTTCATCGAATCTGATGGAGCAAGACGTGTTGTTGAATATACCTCTGACCCGGAACACGGATTTAACGCTGTTGTCCGCAGAGAAGAAGGTGCTGCTCATCCAACTGGCCCTGCTGCTGCTCCAGCTTATGCTAAAGTAGCTGCTCCATTTGCCAAAGTTGCAGCTCCAGTTTATGCTGCTCCAATTGCCAAAGTTGCAGCTCCAGTTTATGGTGCTCCGGTTGCCAAAATTAGTGCTCCAGTCTATGCACCTCCAATCGCCAAAGTTGCTGCCCCTGTCTATGTAGCTAAAGCCGCACCAGTTCCAGTTGCTAAAGTAGCTGCATATCCAAGTTACACATCTAGAGGATATTATCATTAATTACCTGAATATTTTATATTTCTTATTTAGTATGTTTTGAGTATTATTTATTTGATTATTTTATGAATAAAATTAATTGCATTCATTTATTTTTTTTATAAACATTTCTTGAAAGTATTATAACCTATCCAAAATCAAAAAAATCGTTTTTATAAAATAGTTTTTATAAATTCTCTTTCAAGGTATTTTATATTCGATTATCAGTTTAAACTAACAAAATACAGTATTTTCTGTATTAACATTGAAAATATTTATTAAATATTTTATTGAATACATCAATTTTAACGTGTTACACTAGTTATTTAACAATTTTAATTATTACAAAGGTAACTTAACACTGACATTTTCAACGTTAAATATAAAATAATAATTATTCAATATAAAACGATTAAATAAGCAATTGACTTCAATATTAATAATAAATCTTTGATGATAATCGCAAAGTTTAAATGAAAAACACACTGAATTTACCTTACATTACCACTCAAACCTTGCGTTGTGAAGTAATTCACGTTTGGTATAAGAAACTTTGTCTATCCTATCGATTCATTTTATCTCATTTGCCACCTTCTTATAAACACTCGTTAATCTCCTTCTTTTTTCCCTTCATTCCCAGTAATTGTCTTAACAGTAATCCTTAATATTCTAAAGTGTGCTGATGTAACGCTTACAACAAGTTTACTTTTGAGGAAACTAAGCGTATTTCTAGAAAGCGATTATTTTATCGTTGATTAGATTGAAATGCCAGAAGATTACTTCCGCTTATATAAGGATCGCATTAGCATCTTACTCTAAGGAGATTGTTGGTCATTTTAGTTGCTGTTTCGGTTGTATCTCTAACATATGACGTGATTTTCGTACCATTATTGAGATAGACGCCCAGGTATCTCAGCATGGGATATAGCAAATCACCCTCACTTTTCCCAACTCTAGAATAATCACCTCTCACGAAGCAGAGTTAAACGCGTTCTCAATATTTAAGTATACATTCAGTCATCATTCTTGGCTATATAAGTATTACTTCTGTAATTTTTTCTACAACGCCTTGCACTTTTCTCCATGCCTTTGGCTATGATCAATTTGCCTTTGCTAAAGCGGCCTTCATTAATCAGTCTCTTCTCAACTATTTCTGTCTAAGATCCAGATCGATCCTCGACTTTTCTATCAGTAACACGACTGAGAGTTTCCAAAAGTATGAAAGATATTGAAGCATTGATTAAAAGTAAGGTTTCTTTGTTTTCCAACACACTTGTTAGCACAATCTTAGGCGTAACCTCATTCAGATCTTTCTCAGCAAACAGGGTACTGCTGGATCTGGTGTACTATTCCTCATCCATTTTGTCAATACGTGCTTTGAAGCGTAAGTCGTAATTTCGCTTCTTCACCAATACACATATTTTTTATTTATTCCACTGTCAATACATTTAACGTTTCGAACTGTTTTGAACAGTTCATCATCAGAAACCTTAAATCATATAACTAATTATAATTACACATATTTCTTAGAACACTACTTCTTCGTTCATGAAACTATTTATTAGCACTTTAATACTTTTATTTTCATCATTTGAAGACGATTATGTATTTCTTCAATGATATTATATTATCTTAACTTGAATAGAATTGAAACGACCGAAATATAATGCAACAAATTTATTTTTATTAATTAAATAAATAAATAACACATTTACGAATTCAAATTTTAGACTACAATCTTATTAATGATAATAACCATGAGATGAATATCCGGGATAAGCAGCAACTTTAGCTACGGGAGCAGCATAGACTGGAGCAGCAACTTTAGCATAAACTGGTGCTGCTACTTTACCATAAGCTGGAGCGGCTGCGGGTCCAGTTGGGTGAGCAGCTCCTTCTTCCCTGTGGACTACAGCGTTGAATCCGTGTTCGGGGTCAGAAGTGTACTCAACAACACGTCTAGCACCATCAGATTCGATGAAAGAGTAAGATCCTTTAACAACATCTCCATCACGAACTTCTTGTTGGCTTTTCACATCTCCAGTATGATCGTCATGAACATCGTAATTGAAGTTGTATTGTGGATGAGCATCGTATGGTTCTGGAGCTACGGCTTTAGCATATACTGGTGCTGCTACTTTGGCTATGGGGGCTGCGTAAACTGGGGCGGCATAATGAGCTGGGTATGCAGCTGGGAGAACCCCGGCGGAAGAGACTGCAATTAAAGCAGCTAATATGGTGAACTGAAAATATAATATGTTTGGTAAATACATGATTCCTTGAAATTTCAATTTGTTACCTTGAAAGCCATTTTATTGGAAGGTGATTGATGTTGTTCTCGTGGTTGTTGGTTTGAGAATGATTTAACTGTGAAGGTTTGGGATTATATATCCAAATTCGGCGAGTACACGCCCCTCTCCTCCCAAGGTAGACACTCTAATCTTACTTTTTCTTTCATTATTTAAGGGGTCTAGGCTAGAATGTACACTTACATAAAAAATTGTGTGATTGTTTCAAAATTGGGTAACAAAAAATATAACGTTATGTTGGTATTTTCAATACCTAAAATAATATCTAACTTGAAATGATATACTAAGAAATTTTATTAAAATCGATAGTTATCAAATAAATAGTTTAACAACGAATATCAGTTCGACTAAACATTTCTCGCTAAAATATTATTATACCTATTGATTTTTTAAATTTTGAATGCTTTTAAATTAAATGAAATATTTTAAATTTATATCACTATAATGAAACTACATTGAAATAAACTATTAAATAATTAAAACGATTCGAACAGTGTTAAGTCGATAATTTTTTTTAGTGCTGATATTTACTTCGTATTCAGATTGACATATTTTCTGTCTGAATGAACAGTAAAAAGTGTAGACACCACCCTATTTCTTCTTCCAATAATTATGGACATAATGGACATTCGCAAGTCCACGATCTTATGAAACTAAAGGAAGCTCTATATACTTTTGAAACATTTCCGTTGAAGTTCGCCATCGATTCCATTTCATGTGTAGATTTCATTTTAAAATTTTCTTAACAATGAACATTCTGACGACAACTAGGGTTTCATGCCCATTCTATGGGCTCGAGTCCCGTAAGCAGTTAAAGTCTCGCCTATCGTAATCTTTTTCAGTAGAAAAAGAAGGTATTTTGGTGTACTGTCGCCCTGTGTTATCAGCTGTTCCAATAATGTAAACACAGTTTGTAAAGCATTCATGGTTGGTTAGGAATCGGGTAATGGGCTACTTGAGGGACCCCCAAAGTTAAGTGCGACTGATTCCCGAAATCAATCTGTCCGTCCATTCGTTTCAGTCTTTCACGTCAAATGCTCTGATGAGCTTTTGACCTCATCCAAACCATGAGGTAATCTGAAGCGAAGAGATTTATTTTTCAACACTTATAGTAATAGCTGATGCTAAATAATGTTGTTTATTGGACAAACATTCAGCAGGTTGAATGCAACTCCAAAAATCACCGAGACCTTTATGTATTACATCTGACATAGAAACATCGTTGTAGATATCAAATATCATTTGAATATAAAGACTGTGACGCCATGGTGATAATATATTGCATTCATAAAGAATTTGAAATAACTAAATACTTTGAATTTCGCCGATTTACGAACTTTTCAATGCTTTTCCATCCCAACTCCAGTGGGAATAATTCATTCGCTTATACGCAGCACCAGAAATCCAAGGAAATCCTTAAATTAGTAAAGTAATATGCACTGATAGATGAAATTGGTACCAATTACATGATTTGATTTCAAGTGAGCAAATGAAATTGTGCCGAAATATCAAACTCAAAATTATAAAATTTTTTATAAAATCATTGCATCCCGATAGCAACTGAACTAGATGAACTTTTGAGAATAATCTTTTGCTGGGCTTGTATTGGTAATTTATAACGCAATAAATTTATTTTTAATATTTATTAAATAAATAATAATAATTCACAATATCAAATTCTATACTACAATCTTATTAATGGTAATATCCATGGGATGCATAACCGGGGTAAGCAGCAACTTTAGCAATGGGGGCAGCATAGACTGGAGCAGCAACTTTAGCATAAACTGGTGCTGCTACTTTAGCATAAGCTGGAGCGGCAGCTGGACCAGTAGGATGGGCAGCACCTTCTTCTCTACGGACAACAGCGTTGAATCCGTTGTGTGGGTCAGAAGTGTATTCAACAACACGTCTAGATCCATCAGATTCGATGAAAGAGTAAGCTCCTTTAACTACATCACCATCGCGAACTTCTTGTTGGCTTTTAACATCTCCAGTGTGGGCATCATGAACATCATAGTTGAAATTGTATTGTGGATGAGCATCGTATGGTTCTGGAGCTACAGCTTTAGCGTATACTGGTGCTGCTACTTTAGCTATTGGGGCGGCGTAAACTGGAGCAGCATAATGAGCTGGGTACGCACCAGGAAGAACTCCAGCCGAAGAGACTGCGATTAAAGCAGCTAAAATGGTGAACTGTAAATAGAATTGTTTTGATTTTTGAAATAAATATGTTATCATTTGCTGATTTGTATTTTAAGTTATTACCTTAAAAGCCATTTTATGAAATGTTCGTTGCTGTTGTTCGGGTGAGTGTCGGTTTGTGTATGATGTAGTTGGGAAGGATTGGGTTTATATATTCAAATTCAGCGAGCACACGCCTTGGTGATGCAACAGTTTACGCTCTAAATTTATTTAAGGTTGTACTTTCGTAATGAATTGTGTAATTATATCATTGATTAATATCATTAAAAAATTTAATGAGATTGTTATTTAATTTAATTAATAGATTTGAAAATAAACTAATAAGCATATTTCTATATGTAAATTTATAAAGTAGTAATTTATGGTAACCAGATTAAAATCTAATATTTATATTTCATGAATTAAAACTGCATTAAATTACCTTTAAAGTGATATTTAGTACTATATCTCCATTAGTTCTTGAGATACGATCTTTTTGAAATTTTATTATAAAACTGTACATCTCCATTAAATTGTTTTAAAATACTTCTTATTGCTATATTTTATTACTCAATTATTATTTGTTTTTTAAAATATTGTTTTGTCCTTTCTGATACTAATTATTCATGTTTAAGCTTAAGTTATACGAAAAATGTGGTCAACTTAGAGGAAATTAAAAATTTGTTCTCGTAGCGTTAAAACAAGATTAAATATTTTATGATCTTCTCTGTGCAAGCAATTAATCTACATAGTTAATTTGTAGTAATCAATAAAGCTTGTAATTACAAAAGTAAAATGATCCTCTTTTTCACATACTGATTGTAATGGACATCAAAAAGGTTTATAAAGTTTTTTTATTAATCTAGATGTGTAGTTTTATGCGTTCTTGTATTCGTAATAAAATCAGCTTTAATGACATTTCTGTCGAACAATAACAAGCGTAAAGTTGGCAAATTTAATAATTACTGATCTCAATAGAAAATTGATTTTTGATAAAATTCAGTTTTAATTATTCGTAATTGATATCTAGGCTGCAGACGTTGTATTTATCATCATTTAGGCCTCTTGTATATCGCGGTTTGATTAAATTCTGGTTATATCAAGCAGGATAAGGATTTTCCAAAGGGCAACTCGGAAACGTACCCCAGGTTCAATTAATGTTCCGCCATTTATCTCTGATGTACGTAAATCTTAAGTTATATAGAGCAGGACATTGAAATAGGAATTACTATCTCTCAACTTTCTTGATGTGATAGAGTTGTTAACAAGTCTCATGTTATAGAGGTGGTTGTCATAGAGTCTAGTAATGAGTCTTATTATTATCTCCAGGGTATTTTAACGAAGCTTTTGAAGCAACCATTATTGGCACCGGCGACCAGGGCTTAAGCCTGTTCTTGTAACGATCTTGTCAACTTATATGATTCCTCATTGTTACTTTTTCCACTAAAGTATTACATGATTATATGTATCTATCTCATTAAATGCAAATCGATAATCAATGATCAGCTAACTCTAGACTGATCATTACTCTATTTTATGCTAAACTCTTACCCTGTTTATCACAATTAATTAATAAGACTCACGACAAATTTAATAGCTACTAATTAGCCCGATTGGCTCTGTTGGAAATGTTGGACCAATCAGCAGAGATTATTGTTATCGTCTATATTTGTGGCTTTTGAGCGAATACGGTGGCTTTATTTGAAGTTAAATCTTATGTACAAATAATCCATTTTTCATAGTAGAATTGTATGCATTTGTATGAAAAGAATCATTTCTTATCATTTATAAAATGGAACTATAAGTTAAACAATAATATTCATGTATACGTGCCATATAAAAACACACATCTATCCCACATGAGTTTATGTGAATGGAATTGATAAAAAACCAATAAAATATAATGCAATTGATTTATTTTTATTTCTAATTAAATAAATAAATAACAAATTCATAATTTCAAATGCTATACTATAACTTCCTATTAATGGTAGTATCCATGGGATGCATAACCGGGATAAGCAGCTACTTTAGCTACAGGTGCAGCATAAACTGGGGCAGCAACTTTAGCAATTGGTGCAGAATAAATTGGAGCAGCTACTTTAGCATAAGCTGGAGCAGCAGCTGGACCAGTTGGATGGGCAGCACCTTCTTGTCTCTGAACAACAGCATTGAATCCATGTTCTGGATCGGAAGTGTATTCAACAACACGTCTAGATCCATCAGATTCGATGAAAGAATAAGCTCCTTTAACTACATCACCATCGCGAACTTCTTGTTGGCTTTTAACATCTCCAGTGTGGGCATCATGAACATCATAGTTGAAATTGTATTGTGGATGAGCATCGTATGGTTCTGGAGCTACAGCTTTAGCGTATACTGGTGCTGCTACTTTAGCTACAGGGGCGGCGTAAACTGGAGCAGCATAATGAGCTGGGTACGCAGCAGGAAGAACTCCAGCCGAAGAGACTGCGATTAAAGCAGCTAAAATGGTGAACTGCGAATAGAATTGTTTTAATTTTTAAAATGAATATGTTATGATTTGTTCATTTGTATTTAAGTTATTACCTTAAAAGCCATTTTATAATTTGTTCGTTGATGTTGTTCGGGTGAGTGTCGGTTTGTGTATGTTGTAGTTGGGAAGGATTGGGTTTATATATTCAAATTCAGCGAGTACACGCCTTAGTGATGCAACATTTTACGCTCTAAATTTATTTTAGGTTGTACTTTCGTAATGAATTGTGTAATTATATCATTGATCAATATCAATAAAAAACTTA